CCGAACGCATCGATTCCAGCCAAGAAGCGACATGCATCAATTAGACTGTGACAGCCGCCCTGGCAATAGCGGGCAGCATGTCGACAAAGACTCCAGAAAAGGCAAGGGATGGAAACCGGGCTTTGGAAATAGGCCTAAATTGCCTAATTAGTGATGGAAAATGAAAACAACACATAGGATTTGGCAGGAGACGCTCTGATGTTATTGCGGCGAGGCTCTTGCCGAGAGGAGTCACGGCCGGGGCCGATGCGTAGACGGATGGCTCCCCCTACAGCACCGCTCAGGCAAGCGCTCAAACTCACTCGATTTGTCACTTGCGCTCGCTCGCTCGCTCGCCGTGGCACGTTGTACATTGCCCCCGCAGCAAGTTTAAAACCGCCGCGAATTTGGCGACTCAAAACGACTTCGCTCGCCACCGCCGTGCGAACACACCGTGGCAGGAATGAGTGATGTTTACCGGTGCGCCGTAATGAGAACATTTCGAGGAAGAGCCGTGCAAAAGTCAGAAATTGAGCGGAGGCGAGGGGGGGGGGGGGGGCCAAGGACACGAGTTGTAGATGGTCCGGCAAACCAGATTAAAATGATAATCCGGACGACCATCCACGAGTCTGTCGTGCAGGCTCGGCTGATTTAGATCCGAACTGAGACCTCGCCTTTCAATTTTCATGATGCGTTCCCTTACTGTCAGAGGACATTACCTCTTGTTAATGTCAGTGCCGCCGTGGTCACGTTGCGTGCCGGGCAGGGGGTGGGGGCTCTCTTGTGGGCAGTGGAGCGGCGAGGATTCTGTGGATTGTGGGGGGGGGGGCGGGGGCGAAGGGGTGGGGGGTCGGAGCAACGGAGACGCGGAGAGAACGAGCGAGCGGCGCACGCTGAGATAGAGACCACATCCCCGGGATCCGCGGGCGATTCTGCCGCTTTCGCTGGAGGATGCTCGCCCGGCCTCCCCTGACAAACTCGAAGCGACAGCGCCAGGATCCGTGCGCGGCGGCGGTTTCCAGAAATTGCGTTTTTCTCCGCCGGCCGCCGTAATCAAATTATGACAGCCGCATCCGCTCGCTTCTCCGAGGTCACCAAGCTGTGTATTTTATTTATTTTTTCTCCACCCCCCCCCCCCACCCCCCCCTCGTCGTATCTACCTCCAACCCTTGAATTCTCATTTATTTCATTCATTCTCGGAGCGGCGCATCTATTCCCACGTACGACCTACAAAATACGAGGGGGGGATGGTGGGGGTGATGGAGGGGAAACATGGCCTTTTGAAAATAAATAAATAAACGAGCTTACAAAACGGGATCACGTTGAAGACAGCCCTCATTGACATTGCCAAAGGTCTTCACTTTTCATGTATAACTACGAGAAGGATGCATCGTATTTGTTTGCACTTTACCCTTTTTAATTCATGATTTACCAGTGCTTCAACTTTTCCGCTGCCTGTGGAGATTCTCGTGCTGCCTTTCCAGTCCCCGTGCCTACAACCAGCAAGCGAATAAAAGAGACGCGTCCGACGATTAACATCCGACGTACATAATGTGTTGGGCGTACCGTATATGTTGTCAAAAATAGTAATTCAGTACGATGAAAATACAATTAACAGTAAAACATTTCTCATCTGATGTACTTGTCGAATTTTGTTTTTTATTAATCCAGACCAAACTATACGGCCACTCACAGCTAGAGCACCAGGAACAAAACTGATGCTTACTCTAAAATAGCAATTGGTCACACATATAGGAATAATTATTATTATTATTATTTGCTAGGCTATAATCAAGTAAATGTTAAACCACATGTAAAAATAATAGCCGGTCTCGAATTGACCGGAATCCCTTTTTGCGAGGCCACAGAATCCACGTTCACCACAGAAGCAAAAGCAACGTTCTAATTCGGGGTGGGGAGCTGGGGGGTGGTGGAGGAGCGGGGGAGGGTGGTGAAGGGGAAAGGCCAGGAATCGCATCGCGAACATTTGCCTTAAATTCGTGTGGCGGGTGAGTGGAGGAAGGAAAGCAGGTCATTGGCGATGCACGATGCAAATCCGTCGCCCGCGGCCGACGCGCGTACACCGCCTTGGCCGTCTACTCTCAGCGCCGAGCACGGCCGTGACAGCTCTGGATGGGCCCGCCTGGCCCACGGCAATCTTGACGAAGTAAAGCAAATAATTAATTAATATTTTGAAAAACCCTTTGCGCAAAGATGCTGATGCAACGCCGCAGCGAAGTAGTTCATCCTCGATGTCACTGATGGTGAAAAGCAAAGAAAGCACGCACAAACACCAAACGACGACCAACAAGGCCGTGTCAATAAAAAATGCATACATGTATTTTCAATTTACAATCCAAGCATTATTGCGCGCGAAACTGTCCGCAAACCGCATTAAATGAATATGGCTTCTTGGTTTAGTGTCAAAACATGTTGTACTTTCAGCATTGTTCACGGTTGCCGGCGGTTTATCATGGCTTGAAGTGGTGGACAATCATTGAGTAAATACCGTGATGTGAATAAGGCATGAGGGAAATTATAATTGGAAAAATGCATAATGCAGGCATCCTAACATCGCTTATTCCTGGGACCATCCACAGCAAAGGAACAATGCGATAAAAGTTCATGCCTTAACTCTTTAATTTCCTGAGTAACAGCGCCCTCTTACGGGTGAAGCTGATATGAATCCTTGCAGTCACGAAAGCTTCAAATCTAGGATTAATTAGTTGTACTGTAGTATATAAAAAAAGCAGAAATTACTAAAATGTTAATGCTGTTATCGTACAAGTAGTTTTTTTTTTACATATTTGATGTGATGTAACATAACACATGCAGATTTCTTAAGTTCACAAATATATGTTGGGGCAAGATCAAGATACGCATGAATACATTATGATCCTTTCGAGTAATTTGAAAATGCCCTTTTGTTTTTTCATATTTTAAAGTTATTTTTAATTAATAGCACAAACATTGTATCGCTTAAATCTACACGAGAGAATTTAGTAAAATCCAACCGAGCAAAAAACAAGTTGAATACATCAATTACAAACACCTTGCTATATGAATGCTAAACAATAACAGATTGTTATGAAACGATTTTACCAAATGAATCACGTTTCTAAACACTTGTAAATAAATACCTTACACCAAATGCCAAAAATATAAAATGAAATTATAATGTTGTCCCCAGGCATTAAACGTGAATACTAAGTCATTAATAAACAGACTTAATAAATCTAATTTGTAGCAGTTCTAAATTTTACTAAATACATTTTCAGAGATAACAGATTGCTCAGTGCGCACACCACGATTGGTAGCACACACACACACCACTTTGCCCAACTGATTCTGGGTAAGAAAAACCTATTACACTACATCGTGGACACAATCCGCCAGTATTAATTACTCTCGACTCCCACTTGACAACAGTAGGGCCAATTCCCAAGACTTCACATTGTGCAACTCGTTTCCTGCTGCCCAGACATCATCTGATGTTCTGCCAAGTGTTGGAGAAGGGGATACAAAAAAAAAAGAAATTTAAATGAGTTGGAAGTTCATTCACTGTTTACTTTGGAAATACTGTTCCAGTAAAAAAAGAAAATCCAGAATTCAGGATGGATCCTTTCCCATCGTGTCACGTGCGGTACCGTACATGTACTTCACCGAAACACTCCACGGTCCTTTTCTCTGTTTGATTGTCTTTGTAAACGATAGGAAAGTGAAATGCCATTCAAGGCAATGGACTTTCAGAGCATAATCACCATTAAATTTGCCAGAAAAAAAAAACGGCACACACTTGCATCACTTAATACAATCTATATTTAGCAACAACAAAAAATGCCTAGGCCCACGATGCAGAACGCGTGATAAAACTGAATGCTTACCTAACAGTTTAAAATGCACGGCACCACTCGCCTGTGAACAAAAAAAAAAGCCATTCTCCGGAGCGAAATGCATCATAATTGCCGATCAGGCCGGCGAGACAGAGGTCCTAGCCGGTTAATATTGATGTAGGACGCCCAAGGTTGGTTGTCTGTTTTGATTCGTGCTCGGGCCAAAACGCGCTGCTTTGGACGCCTCCGCTGGGAATTAATGTACATTATGCATTTCACTTCTGACTTAAATGTGCATTCCCTTGTCAGTTTAGCATTACAGCCCAGGCTGGAATAACACTTGGTACTACAGGACTGACCACACCACACATCCCAATAATGGACAGAAATTAAAGTTTAATTGAGTGCGAAGTGCACAGCAACCAAGACGGGGGGTTTTTTTGTTGGGTTTTGTGACAAAATATAAACGTTTAAATGTCAGCCACACTGCAATAGTATCTAGAAATTTCAGATTTAAGGATGTTGACATTATAGTGAACTATTAAATCCATGCAAAGGATTTTTTACGTTTTTTACATAAATTACATTACACAACAAATCCGTGGCTTAACTTTAGCCACAATAGTTGTAAATGCAACAACGGCTTATTACATTTGACCTTTCACATGGGGGGTATTTTTTTCCCCAAAAGTATATTAGTGCGGGTTTCTTTGAGAAATGCACAATAAAAGAACAATGGAAATTCGACTTGCCTGTACTTTGGGCTTGTACAATAAACGTCGCAGGAAATGCAGACCATTTCCTGCTATTGTACTATTGGGATTTTGTCCATGCAAATGCTGACGTATTGAAAAAATAACCGTTGCTATTAAACGACAATACATGTTATACTTCCTTGTTTTTTTACAATGCTTCATGGTCACTTGTAACTTGTGTTGAGGTCACTTACCAGAAATATGAGGGGCATGCAAGCAGTAAACTTGGGGTTTGTCTTCTCATTTAAGCTGCCTTACGGTTAAAACAAGAAACAAAATAATAATTTGCACAAACACTAGCGTTCTTAAGTTCAATGAAATCTGTTGATGTGAATCCGAAAGTACATATATATTTTTGTTTGAAGTTGAAAAACTACTTGTAAAATTTTAGTTACATTTCCACACCACAGCGAATAACACAGACACATAAAAGTGCGTACGTACATTTTTTTAATACGTTTTAAGTCCACAGATGTTGAAATGGTAAAAGACAGTACATTTAGTTACATTAAACAATTACCACATCCACTCCAATTATTTCATGAACCAAAAACATCACCATCATACACTGTTGATTTTAAAAGGATATGGTGTTAATTTGTCTGTCAAAGGTAAGGAGATCTTTCATGCAATAAGGTTTATAAACTAAAATTAATGGTGCATTACAGGTTTTACTATCGGTAACACTAAATGCCATATATTCGGTAAATCAATACTTAAAGTTAAATACAAATTGGTCACTTTTTTGACATTCAGAACATTTACAGACATGTCTTACTGTGAAGTGAATTTCATTAGCCGTGTTGTCGGCATTTGTGGAATGGTTTCCTTACGTCAGAAATTAATGGAAACACAATTGACTACTTTAAAACATAACTTTATATTTTGTTAAGCACATTCACAAATTAATAACCCAGTATGGCAGGTTTAAAAAATATGTCAACAGACTGTACGAGGAATTTAAGTGTTTCTATACGGTATGCTTAAGTGCAAGGGTGTGATTCCAGTTTAAATAGTTAAATTTGCAAGATAAACTATTTTTTTTACAAAGTCTCTTTTAAACCAATGAGCAATCAGTGATAAATCACAGCAGTAAGACAGCAATTGTATTTTTTTAAAGTAATTTACAAGCACTGGTTTGCATTGCTTTAAATAAAGAATTTGAAAAAAGGGTTGACTTGATTTTCATAAAGTGGTTTTCTTTAAAATGTATTTTAATTGTATGCTGAATATGAAAAGAAATATAACACTTCAGTGTGATCGTAACTTCTAACTTAAACGCGATCCTATTTTTTACATTGTTGCCACCAATTATATTCCAATTGTGGGAAAGGAGTCAATCACGTCAAAATAGGTAGAACTTTAGTAACTTCCTACCGACAGCAGTGACATCTCTATAAATAAAGGTCCAACAGGAGACGCCATGGAAACATATCTGCTGACTCCCCTTTTGGTAACTCGGCTAGCTGAGAGCATTCCTTCACCATGTGCACAGCCGATTCCAAAGCCATCCATGATCCGATGAATGTTTAAAAAATATCCCACCAGGTCTGAGCTCAGCCAAGTTACGCTGAAGTTTAATCCTCCGGTATTTTTTTTTTATTAGTTAACGGTGACGACCATAGGTCTATCGCTTAACAAAGGATAATCATGAGAATCTGCTTCAAGCTTAGATGGCTGCTTGGGGTGTTAATCCTGCATTTCTGCGGTGCTGCCTCAGATTTTTATCTGGACATGGGCATTCACTCCTTTGGTCAACTACCACTCATCGCGTTAACATGATGCCTACGTGTGTGCTGTATCATCAACTGTGCACTGCTGAAACCTTCACATCAGCTTAATGATTTAACATGTACAGTTGCGCTGAAGGAACGTTTATAAGCGTAAAGTCACCTTCGTTGGTGAAACACACAATTTGTAACAAAAAATGTGTAAGCTATATAATATTCCAGCTAAGATTTATACACAGCTTACGGTGCTACAATTTTCCTTGCAATCGGGAATTGAGGTAATTGTAACGCTTCAACACGTCACCGTTCAGTAAAGCAGACGATCCACGTGAACATCACAACTGCAGCTCGATTATTCAACTATGCACCGATCATATCATCCTTGCTGAAATCAATCTAAACTGTGGGGAAACCATTACCTCGACCCCTGAACACAATAGCGGTTTATTTATATATATGAAAATGCTGTCCCGACATTTGCCTTCTGTGATGTTACATGAGAGGAAGGTAAACTTATGCCGGGCATTGGTCTTTACTCCAGTGACTGCAACATCAGCAGCTGCTTGAGCACCTTCGTCTGGCTTGTCTCCCTTATCTCCCCTGCAAGGAACATCTCATCCACCACCGTGTATACCTGCAAGTGGAATAGCGGAAATAAAATTACAAGGGGGAAGTGTACAAGCTCGAATACAATGGGGGTGAGATCTCGCGGGGAAAATAAAGACACAAGGACAATGCTGGAATGGGGATGGGGGGGGGCACTTGGCTGGCTGCTCTTTAGTATCCTATGATTTTCCACATCATCAAAACTCAATAAATGCAGGGACAACACTACTGAACAAGAAACAAAAAACTTTTATGAGTAAATCCCATGGGATATTTTTTCCAATTTTCGTGATATTTTCTAGCCAAAAATTTGTTTTTGGCAACGCGTGTTTTTAATACACTCAAGAGAGTGAAATGTTTATGACCCCCAGAGTGTGTTCGTATGTGAGTATGCACAAAGGGCAGATACAATCATGGTTGCCAGTGGGAAGTGGTATACTTTAAAGCACAATCTCATGCATTTGTTTTTACAAAATGTTCATTTTTTACGTTTTAAAAACCAACACACCTGAAGACGACCATTTGAGTTATGGTCGACACGTCGTGAGAATTTTTTATTGTTTTATATATATTTTATTATTTTGTTGTTTCCCTTCAACGTGACTTTACCGAAAAAACTAAGAATATAAAAAACGCTGTTATCGTTCACTGAGACAAGAACCAATGTTAAACAATCAGAAACAAAAGAAAAGAACAGTGTGGAACAATTCATAGTACACATACCTTGTAGAAATTGAAAACAAGGTCCAATTCACATACATTATGAAAATATTCATTCAGCACCTGAAATAAAAAGGATCGTGTGAGATTTGCATCTACAACACAATAAAATACGTAGAAAAATGCAAACTGCATATTAATTTGGATGTTTTCAGCGTGGCAAAAACATACCTCCACAAAATTGTGTATGGCTTCCAAGTAAGCCAAATTGTTGTCATTTACATCCACACATATACAGAAGTAGAGACCAGCATAGCGACGGTAAACAATCTTGAAATTACGAAACTGTTGAAAGACAGAGACAAAGCATTACAATGTTATGTCCTAGAATAGCTATGCTGTACAATTCAATATGCATGAGCTCATTCACCTAGCTCAAAAAAAAAATCTGCACTGACCAGCATGGTTATAATCGCCAAACATTCCTTCATCCAGCATTGGATTGGCAAACATCTGCAAACTACTTTTTTTAGATTAATATAACGCTCATGTTAATAAACTCCCAAATATGCACAATAAAGTATAAATGTAAAAAAATACGATTTTACAGGTGAAAATTACATAGCTGTTAAATTGTAACAAAAAAAGTTATAATTTTCAAACAGAACTAAATCATTGTAACAGTGGCTCAGGTCACACAGTCCTCTATGAACCCATACAGGAACATCGTCCGTCTAATACAGAGATGAAGTGTTTTGTTGCTGGTCTGTCACCTCAACAAAGTTAGTGTGCTTGGCGTCGCGCACTGTCACCACCGCGTGCACCTCCTCAATCAGCTTCTGCTTTTCGTCATCATCGAACTGCATGTACCACTTTGCCAAGCGCGTCTTGCCTGCTCGGTTCTGAATCAAAATGAAGCGAATCTGTGGAGACAAAAGGGTAATATATGTTCGTTAAGCTCACCGCCAAAAGGGGTTTTCTGGATGATGGTAAAATCTTACATTTCATATACGAGTAAATGCATTCATATAGTTTATACAAATCTGAGTATTTCCACTACAAAGGGGAGGCCTTATGATTATTGCAAAAATATCTTAAATTATCATTGTTCAATTTTTTTATTTAAAGCTTTCGTGACTGCAGGGATTCATATTCTTGGTTCTTTCGGTAAAGTCACGTAGAAGGGAAACAATAAAATAAAAAATATATATAACACAATAAAATTCTCACGACGTTTCGACTGCAACACAAGCAATCATCATCAGGTGTGAAAACCACAGCAAGAAAATTTGAAAAAAGTGGCGGTTATTTTTAACGTTAGCACCACGGAGAGCGATTTGGCAGTTGGTTCAGATGGACGAGTCCATCTATGTTCGGAAAAGAGGAGGGAGACGAAAATAATGGATGTTCATTAATTCAGACAACTTAACAATGCAAGTAGCAATTTTTAGACTTAAAGGTAGACTTTCAGGGGGGTTCTGCATTGGGATTTTTGACCAGTTGATTTTAAAGAGCGTTTATCATCCGAGGGCAAAGTCAGCGTACCTTAAGAAAACCTGACCACTCATACGAGGGAAGATTTTCAACAATGGATGTGCTTGTTAAACTTCCATTTAGGGAAGAGTTTAAAACTGCTATATGGAAAGTTTACAATGACAACCGCGTTATAAAGCGTTGAAACCCCCAAAATTCCTGACACTGGATGCAACATTCATTTCGATAAATGTACCCGATGCAAAAGTCATGTGAACATACAGTATGCACGTGAACCTGTACAATAATCTAAGCGTACAGAGGATTAGCGCGACCAAAAGAATACCTATTAATCGATGGGTCGTTAGTGTATGACTGTCAGCCTTTCAACCTCAGGCAAAATGGTGATTGAAATGAGAAAATTTCGTTTTAGGCAAATTCCAATACAGCTGTAAAAGAAAAATGCACTAAAATAACGAACAAAACTAAATGTGTTGGCACTGTTAATGCATTTGAAGGCGCAATCTCTTAACGACTGTGTAGTCAATCCTTAAACACGTCAGTGGCCCCCCCTATATGAAGAGCCACTGCCCCAAAGCGTCAGCCTATTCGCGTTCTTTGGCAGCGGTAACGACTCATGTGGTGCTCTTGAATGTGTACGTGTGTGTGCACCGCTGCAACATAGTCCCTTGACTTGAACAGCAATCCCGCGGTTTACATAGTCGTCGTTTTGGAATTGGCGAAAAACCATTTGAGTGCAGCAGGACCGTCCCAGACACTTGAGAAGCAGTCAGGATTCCCTGCATAAACGATGCCGCTACAACAGTATCACGCATCTTAAACCTACAAATGGTAGGTGGTTCACGAGAGCGCATACAATCAACACACTTCTCCCCACATTTAATAACATAAAACAGCCCCCCTTTTTTAAACTCTTTGCCCTTTTTAAATCCGGTGAAATCTCAAGAAAACCGGCGGTCCCGCCCACGCCTACAGCTTCGGCTGCTTCTCGCTGCCCGTCGTGGCGGCGCCCAGGGCAGCGAAGAAACCAGGAGAGACAGGCTCCGCCTCGAGGCCTCAACTCGCAAGGCGACGGAGCGCGTGTGGCAAGCACACAACAATCATTGGCGAGAGTCGGACGCCCTCGGTCAAGCGAAGAGGCAAGCGTTTGCAAACATCGTACCATTGTGAAACGTCCTGCGGTCGCTCCAACTTTCAACTTCGCCGAGCGTAAAGTGCCGCCGATTAGCCGCTGTATAACCGGAAGTCCGCGCGCGTGACGGTCGCGTCACTTCCGGTCTTGTGAGGGCGGAGCTGCGGGGTTCCGCGGTCACGTGACCACCCCGCACCACCCTCGATTCGATTGCTCCGGAGACGACTTCCCGTATCGATTCCATTCCATCGATGGATTATTGCGTTTCCTTCACAATTTTGTGATCCGGGGGCAGTTTTAAAAAATAAAAAGACGTAACAAAAACAAATATATATCGATGACATTCAAGCCCAATTTATAGAATCACTGCGGGCGAAAGGGGGCGCGAGAATTCGCACATTTATCACGCAATCCTTCACGGTTCTTAGGTTCCTCACCGTACGCCAGATGGCTTTTTGCTTTGCTGTTACAAGCCACGCACGCAAGTCCCAATGTCAACGGGGATGTCGATCGAGCGGGAGACGCCGTGTGAACGACGTGTGAAATCCACGCTGTGCTCACCGAGGCGTTAAAATGTGCGGCCACAAAGCACCCATTGCAAACATTTTTTTTTAAAACAACCTGCCTCGGCAGCTTTCCCGCTTCATTTTTAGTTTCTCTCCTGCTTACGTTGCGATCGAAACGTCGTAGTTTTTCGTTTGTTATTTTTTTGTTCATTTCTTTTAACCTATCTACGTGACTTTACCGAAAGACCCCACTGAATATAAGGCGCGCGAGTTGTGGAATAGTCACAGCGAGGCACGTGCCCTCTGGTGGACATGTATGGACACAGCAGCCTTTTGAGGAGCGGTATTGCCCGGCCACCGCATGCCCGAGCAGCTTCTGTTCGGCCGGGTAGAGGGGGCGCAAAACGGGCACTGGACGGGCCCGAGAAGAGGCGAGATCGCTGATGCGGTACGGGAGGCTGTGGAGCTGAGTGGACTTGCCGATAACTGGCACCAGCGGTGTCAAGATCGGCCTCTGTGGAGGAGGAGGAGGCTCGTGAAGGACGCTGCTGCTGCTGCTGCTGGGGAGTTAGGAGGCAGTCGCCCTCCAGCAACAACGGAGGGCAGAGGAGCGACGCTCACAACAACGAGCCGAACGCCGGGCGGTTAAAATACAGAAAAAAAGTTGGCACAGCAGCTGGTGCATCTGCCAGTCATCTCAGTCAACCCATGGCACCTGGGTCTGTTTCGCTTGACCTGTCAACGAGCTTTCGACACTTTACGTGGCCTCAAAGTGCACCTGGCCTGGCACGGGCGCCGTGAAGATGTCACCGCCACCTCGTGGCGAATGGCGGCTGCTGTTGTTGTTGGGTGAGCGGTAGTGTCGAGGCTAGCGCACTGGAAGAACCAACCCAGTTGAACTATTCCCGCTCACGGCCAACACCAGCGACGATTATCTGAACTTAAGTCTTGAGCCATCGCGAGGTCGACTCCGCCTCAAATGAGTACCTGGAGAGACAAGGGCGGTCGAGGGTGGTGCTGGCCACATATCCACTGGCCTTCATAGGTACTCGCTAATTGAGTTGATCACGGAGTCTCAAATCGAGTTATCATATTGGGCTCGCGGAATTGGGGCTCCATGGTGGGCAGCAGAGGGCAGTGAAGCAAACTCCATCGTTGTACCGTGCTGTCACTTTAACGCCTCCACGTGCATGCATGCACCCCGCATTCGTAAATCGAGGGAATTCCTCTGTTCAGGGATGGTCTCCAGTAAACCCATTCAGCATTTCTAATAATTTAAAACCACACTGAAATGTGACCTATAGGCAGCAGAAACACAATTTACTATTTGCAAAACTGATCTGAATCTGCAATGTTGACTTAAACTTGAAGATACCTCTTTTTTGCAGTCATGCTTGTTGTACAGTCTTGCCCACGATGTCGCTTGTCGTGAAATTGTAACAAATGCAAAACTGATTTAAAAAAAACGCTTGATTCGTAATTGAATTGTTTCGTCAGATCACGCGAGTACAATGCCGATGTGTGTATTGTACCCTCCACCCAACAGGCAAATAAAGTTACCACGTGAACGAGCACGTTTTTATTGCTACAGCACACCCATACGTTGAAGAGCAATCCACAACGCATACCTTAATTGTAAAACAATATTGAACTTTTTGTTAACATGATTTTATTTGATTCTCGTGCGGAGGAGCGTGTACAATACATTTGCACTGTACTTGCAAGATCCGACCCAAAATTAATGAATGACAATCAATGATTAACATTGGTTGTGAAAGCCTACAAGTTAAATTAAAATAACACTTGTTGCTGTTTTTAACTTCATAAATAGTGGCTGTCACGCGTATTTAACCCAGAACTCGAATTAATGTATGCACTGGAGAATTAAAGTGTATGGTCATTCATCATAAGAACTTGTCTATCTTCTTCATATCCTAACTTTATTTAATTATTGTCATATCTCAATAAAGTGAGAATATTCTTGGTTATTTCGGTAAAGTCACGTAGAAGGGAAATAATACAAAAACAATAAAATTCTCACGACGTTTCGGCCACAACGCAAGCAGTCGTCCTCAGGTTGTGGCCGAAACGTTGCGTTGTGGCCGAAACGTCGTGAGAATTGTAGTTTTATTACTTTATTATTTTATTATTTCCCTTCTACGTGACTTTACCGAAAGAACCAAGAATATGAATCCCTGCAGTCACGAAAGCTTTAAATCGAAATTTAAAGTGAGGATATTAATGGGCATCGAGGCTGCAGAAACCTCTAATTTATCCACTCCTGGATGAAGCACTTACTAGGTCTTCAGATACTCCTGAGATGACACAATCTATCTCGCTCCCACGGATCAACTAATCGCTAACCCTCCGCGATCGATTGCCCTCTGTCGTAAGTAAATCTCCGTTTTATATAGCCCCCCTTCACACAAGGCCTCATAGCGCTTTACAACAGAATCCAAGTCAACACCCTTAACACAACTAAGATGAAAACGGACAGAGACGCAAGAGAAAATAAATGAGTCCGAAAAACTTCGACCGACGTGGCGAACGGTCTAAAACAAAGCGTTCCACGAACGAAGTCTGACGACTGGACGCTCTATCATCCATTTAACGCAGATTTGTCCGAAGTACACTCAGGTGCCCGGATTCGGTGGATCGAAGTTGCCGGACAGGGGTATACGGTTTCAGCAGATCATCGACATATAAATGTAGCAATAACTATTAATTCGATCCCGTATTTTACCGGTGTCTTTCCTTCTTTCGGCTGCCATTCCATCGTTCAGTCTCGCCCAGCGGCTATCAACCGGGCCCATATTCAGCCATTCTCGGATGCCATCAAGAGCTGTTGTGTGCGTGACCACAACAGTGATTATACCGCTTCGGAACGTGAACTCGGATGGGCCAAATGGACTTTGGTGGTGCAGGGTGTACCCCCCATCACTCACGAGCGCCGCCCTGCTCAGACCTAATAACTTTTTTTTGAAGAGGAAAAAAATAGAAAGCTCTGACTCTTCGAAATGGACAACTACAATGCATGTAACACAAAGGACTTTGAAGCATGCTTCATTCAGTGCATAACCCATATTGCTGATAAGAAATGGAAACAAATAAAAACTTAATACCATATGGGTAAAATGAAAAGACTTTGTACCGTCATCACAATGAAAGTATGTGGAACTTCTTTCGCACTCTGTATAGCAAAATCATGCTAATTGGAGGTCTGGGAAAGGATACAGATGTAGATATTTACCAACAAATGCAGTAATTACTGAAATTCTTACCATATGTATTTTACTGTGGCTTACATGGTCTTCGTAATGTTATTGTAATATGGAAACTCAAATAATAAAGTGTTTGCAATGGGACCGCCATTATGCCTGGATATTGCAGACTATAACATTTAATTTCACTCAGTGGCAAGTGATAGTCATCTAGGCTCTCACAAATCAAGTCCTTACTAATATGAATGAAAAGAAGAAAAACACCGTGTATGGTGGAAAAGCTACTCTGAGATTGAAAAAGAAACAACATACAAATCAGGAGAGGATTGCAGCAAGCAGATCTCTCACCAAGGCTATTCAGTGACATCACTTTTTTTCCCTCCAGAAAATGAATTGGATAAAGAAATGAATGTAAATGGAGAAAGTATTAACCATCAGGTTTGCAGATGGAATAGGTATTACAACCAAGGCAAACTAACTGCAGGAGATCATTTATTAACTTAAAATGTTGCAAAGTCTGGGCTAAAGAAATTAAAGCAAAGCAAAAAGGCACATACAAGTTCAATGAACAAAATCAATCGTTGGAGGACCACACCTGGAAAACACAATGGTGTATGTATGTATATACACGTCTATGGCAATCAATAAAGATGGGCAGGGATTCAATTATAAAATAAAGAGGTGAGCAAGAGCAGGTTAAACTGAATTTAATAATGAAAATCAATACAGCAATGTGCCTAAAAAGGAGCATTTTCAATCGGTTGATATTGCCCGATATGACACAGATTGGAAAATTGGAAACTGACAAAGTAGATGAAACTAAAATGTATACAAAAATGCATGGAGAATGCATGCTGGGAATAAAAAAACACAGAATGAGGAAAACATTTAATCACAGAATATATGTAATTTAAGACACTGACTGGTAAGAAACGTGATCTTGGGTAGCACACATCGTTAGAAGGAATGATGGCTAAGAGGAGACTGGTGGTGGAATGACAGCCAAAAGAGGTCACACCCAGGAAGATGAGCAACAGAGATGAATCGATGACATTAGCGCTCGTGCAAAAGCAAGAAAATAGCATCACAAGAACATGAAAGACGGCAATGACTTGGGAAGGCCTTCATCCAGCAGTGGCTTGACCATGGCTGTTGATGGCCGACTTGTAATATGTAGTATTAGGCAACTCAAATACTAATTATTCATTTATTTTAGCAATGGCACTGACAGCAAGGCATTTATACTAGACAGTAACACGTATTTATGGACGAAAATGTACACAATTCACAATGACTCAACCTGTGACATGAAAGAATATTATTTCTTTCAATGAAATGCTGCCTATATGGCAAGCAAATGCATTTACATATCAGCACCTTTCTATCTGCAGAGCATGTTCTGTGAGCTTAATATAGTGTAGCATAGAAAATAATTAACTTAATGCTACAGATAAAAGTGCTTTACTATACCGTACTTTTAAAATTAAAGTCATATACCATAGCTACAAGAAATGCAAAGGTAAATCAGAATGTCATTTAGGAATAGTGGAACAAGCACGACCAAACATAAAAAAGTATACTTGAGTTTACAATGAAAAACCTTAACATTAAATCAAAACTGTGTTCAAGTAAATATATTTTCTTAAAATATAGCCAATTACATGACTCGGAAATAATGTTACAAATGCAAATAAACAGGACAAGTGTACCTTCATATCGACAAAAATGTACGGATTCATATAGAATGAACTCTCCTGTGCTTAATATGCAGCGGTATCAAAAACTTTATAGTGTACCATTATTCAGGAACATTTTTCATTTTGCAAAGTGTTCGGATTTTTTTCCCTTTAACTCCCTAACACCAAGTGCGATTGGCCAAATTCAACAATTGTTTACAGGTGTTGACATTAACATTTCCATGCTCTAAAGTAATTTTTTGTTGCTTTTATTACACGTAAAATAGTTTGTTTTACAAAATCATGGTAATGGCATAAACGATGTCTGCCACTGACACAGTGGTCACCTCGCTTTAGACCGAACCAAATAACAAGAGTACTTAGAAACACTACATTTTGGCAAAGAGAAATCGTCAGTTAAAGCCAATAAATCCAATCCCTAAGTAGCAATGGCTGGAAGAAACTAGAGCGAGAACAATTTAAATAAAAAAATGTTAGAGGCCACTGTTGTTCAGTTTACCAAAGTAAAATAATTAAAATTTTCACAAAAACAATATTCATATTTTTCTTATTTTATTGTTTCCCTTCTACGTGACTTTACCGAAAGAACCAAGAATATAATATTCAACCGCTTTGCCTCTTTAAAATGTTTCCGACATCACATTAGATCAGACCAGTTAAACAAAATGCCAGAGAAAATATCCGCAAACATTGAATTCCTCTGAATGAAATGTTTTGTTTTGGCGTACAGTACTCACTGCAATATATTTTAGTACAACTAAAAAAAAGATATGCTTCGAGTTCAAGAGAATTTCGGGCATTTCGAACGGGTTAAATTTGGAAAATGGTGAAAACAACTTTGGATACGAGAGCTGCATACAAAGTCAAATGCTTTCTTGAATATTGACAAATTATCAAAGTCTCATTGACAAGCCACCTAACCATCTCAAAGCAGATGATCGACAGACATTAACCCAAAAATGTAAGGCTTTGTTTTGTATGCATTTACATCAATTCATGTCGGTTTTAATTTATTTATTTTAAAAAATTAATCTCACCTAACCAATATTGCAAAGAGTAAAGTTCAGCAAGTTTATGATTTTTATCTCATGAATCTTAATAGGAAATAAAAAGCCAAAAGTAGTGGGTTTTCTTTGCATATGTTAATGTATGCAATGATGCAGAACAATAACACTACAAAATGCGTACCAATATGGTGTCGAGGTATACTGAGAACCAAATGCTCTGTTCCTAACATTCACTCCAACGTGGCAGCCGAGCACACCTTAACTTTCGGTAAAATCACAACTAGGCCCACCCAATGGACAGCAACTCTTTTGGAGAAAGCATAAAATGACACGTGTCAAAACATTTAAAAAGTTAGTGTACTATTCCGTTTTATTTATTCAACATTTAATAAGGCGTTAATGGTATCACCCACCCCGTGCATTGAACTTCCGACTGGTAATAACATCCCAAAGCTGGTGGCCAGACTGTGAACTTTGCCAAAGCTTCAACATCTTGCTCGAACCATAGCCATTAAACCGAAGAAACTTGGAAAATAAGACACCAATGCCTCTGTCCAATTCCAAAAAGGCGACTCGGCTCGCATTCAAGTATGGTATTGGTCAGTTTGAAAGAGATTTTAGCTGCGAGTAAATAACAGAAAAGCATGCATTCTACTAAATTAGTAACCCGATGAAGTTCCTCATTTTGACCGCACCTGCACGCAAAAATTTTGGCTGCAGAATATAGCAAAGCACAAAAGTGGCTTGAAAGTCATTGGTGAGCGCTTGCTAAAGACTCATGCCCAGTTCTTGCGGGGCACCGTTTAGCCACATCGCCGAAAGCCAAGCAGTTGAACGGAGAGATAACGCCTTAGCAGACATGCACACGTGCATGGCTGCACGCCCACCGAGTATTTCACAAGCTGCCAAATTGGAGTGAATTCAAGCAGTTACAATATTATGAGCCTGCATCCAATGCAATGAAATGCAAATTGTACCACTGTGAAATAAACCATATACATAAACAAATAAGGTAGTTAAATAAGTGGTTATAATAACCAAAACATTTTACTTGCATTACTTGATTTTTGTATGATGGAATGGATTTAAATAAAACAACCCTAGTATGACATTGCTTATAAACAGAAGCCATTCAGGATTAATCTGGCATCGTACACACGTAAATGCTTTTAAACATTTTCTAAGCATATTAAGGCCGCTCAATCCACCTGTGCACACACGTCGAGCTGCTACTGAAAACATCTGCCTTATAGTAGTTCAGTTTTATTTTTTTTAATTATGGTTTTGCCTCACGTTGGGTAGATGGCATCAACACATTTTTAACCATAGCCGACACTCGTAGATTGTCAATTTTATAAAATCATGTTACGAATAAAGTCACCCACAGTATGGACATGAAGTTTTCAGTAAACCCTTTGAAAATAAACGTGTTGCATACAAGTTGGTAAAAATAATAATGGTTAAATATAAACAAACGTGTGTACAAGGCCTTTGATGCCACTGATTGGAATATCCATTTTCAAAAAACCCGTAGGATCACTGGGAATAATAGAATAATATTAATTACTTATTAATATTCCAATGTACAACTACAAAAGCATACACGTAAATATATAATCAACAAAGCAAAAAATGTGGCATTATAAATGTTTTCAGACCTTAACCTAAGTCTTTAATATACATACCAGTTTCCATATGTAACAAAACAATGTGGAATATGAAACACTATTATAATGTACAGCAATAAAAATGATATTAAGTGTTTGCAGGATTAACAAAAGCATATTCATTAACAACAAAAGACTTAAATGTAGTCCAGCTGCTACTAGATTTATAAGACAGTTTGTGTATAGAAAAATAAAACCAAAGTAATAATCGTATTTACAGTCCCTGAAAAAAAGAATGTACAGCTTCATTACATGCAAAATCATATTCATTAACTCACACAGCACAGATGAACAAAGGCGTTCACACCTGAACAAAGGCATTCAGTTTCATGCGTACACATATCAAGTGGAATAAACCGCAACAGACAGCTGTGCTTGGTGTACGAGGAGGTTATGAGTTAACAATACTTACGACTAATGGCAATTGTAATTTATTTTGCCAATAATTATATAAAAGAAAACATGAACCTCAGAATGCAGGGAATGGCACTTCATCGAAGTTAAAGTGTTGTATAAGTTACATATGCCAGCGCAACTAAAAATATATCATACATTTTATTAATACCTCTAATTTCTATGGAAACTATTGGACTTTTTCTTGCTTATGCTTTTATGGCAACTATGTAAAAAAAGGATTTTTTTTTTAGAAACACATTAAGTGATATTGTTTTTGTTGGTGTCGTTCAAGTCAAACTTTGAGTGTTTAAATAACAAAAGTGGAAACCCTAGCTGTACGCACTTTTGTAAACAAGCCATGTTTTTCTTTCTGGGACGGACTTTGAACAAAGCACCACTTGAAGCGCGGCACCACGGCCTCATTCTATGCCACCACACCACCACCCACGGCTGCTCGACCGTGGACTGCTGTGGCATGCGCACAGCCTCAAAACGGGCATCGCCAGGTTCACGTCTGAGCACCTCAAAAAAGCCAAATGTTGAAACCATAGTTGTGTGCCGCCTTCCGCAACATTCATCGGTGGATGACGCGTCATGGCATGTATGGTGCTTGACGCTTAATACGCTGATTAGTGTTGGGTTTTAACTCTTCCCCACAATGAAAGGTGAACAGAGAAACAAAATCAGTTCCCGTAACTTTCTTTAAGGTTATAAAAACTCAATCAATTTTAATTACGTGATATTAGTCCTAATAGAAATTACTATTCATGTTTGTTCTGAGCAACACGCACGTAATACTTGATGTGCAACTTGCCTTTAAATAGCATCTTTAGTTGTTTTTCTCAACATCAAGATATTACAAAGTCATCAAGCATCAACAATTAGATTTACAGTGTCAAGATACAACCTTAATGAAAAATTACGTAATTTAGTTTAAAGATGCCCAGCTTTGACAATGATAGAAACAATAATGTACTTAAATTCTCAATGGTTTTTATAAGGACAATTGTAATTTTAATACTGTTTTATTTTTAAGGTCAAGAACAACCGGTTGACGTGTTGAACATTGCCATTAAGGACATAAAGTGCAGTACACTGTTCCAATATTATAGTACTACCAGGATTGATTATCTCACAATTTCAAGCACACATCAACATTAAAAAGGCCACAAGATTTTGCTTTCTTCATCATAACGATTCAAATCAAACTCGGTTCATACAAGTGTCTGATGTTAGAATGTTGCACCCGCTAATTGGGAAAAACTGGTTGAGTTTTTTTTAAATCAGCGACAAGTCTAAATTAATGATTTGTAAACCCAATCAAATGTCCCTTTCATCTTCTGCCATGTGACGTGGCACTTCGCGATAACGACTAAGGCGACGTTTGTTCACACATACAGGTCCAGTTAAAGTTGGGGTCGAGAGGCCTAGTCCGTAGTTTCAATCCACACGGGTAGTTTTTTTTTATTCATCCCGATTTAATTCCCCCAAGGGCTTTGCAGAAGGTGGAGCCGGACATTCCGCAAAAAAAAAAAAAACGTTTGTCTCTCTCTCTCTCCCCGAGCCGCTCTATTAAATCACTGCCCTGTGCTTGCCTCCACAGCAACCACATGCCACCCCGCAACTGTAGCAGCCCCTCAGCGGCAGGTAGCAGCACATACAGGGCGCGAGCAGGGACAGGCCGGCCAGCACAAACCAGCGCTGGCAGACACGCCCATCGCCATCTCCGTCGCACGAGCACGGGTCCGAGAAGTCCCCCTCCGGGTCCGACATGCAGTGGTAGAGCACCGTCTCGGCCAGCCACAGGCAGCTGGCACGCTCCACGCAAACGCGGGCGCGGTCGGGCGCGTCGGCGCAGCGGCGCGCCCGTCCCGGCCGCGACGGGTCGAAGAGCTCGCCGCAGTAGATGCAGCGAGCTCGCTCGCCACTCGGCTCCCCCGGGTCCCAGCGGTGGCCCCGCCGTGGCTGGCTGCGCACCACCCGCAGCTTGTTCTCGAGGCGGTAAGCGTCGACGTAGGGGTACGTGTACTCGTGCTTCTTGTGGTGGTGGTGGTGGTGGTGGTCGGCGGCGGCGGCGGCGGAGGGCGACTTGTCAAAGGTGACGTAGGAGCCGGCGCCGGCGTCGGCGTCGAGATCGCGGCGGCACACGGCGGTGTGGCGGTAGTCCTCGTAGCCGCTCCGCAACCAGCGCTCCTCCAGGGGATTGATCCTCTCGATGAGGTCACTCTCGTTGAAGCTGACTACCTTCTGCTCTCACGGGCAATGGCGAAGAGGGTAACAAAGGCAGGAAAGGCAATGTGAATTAACCGTGGCACACCCACACAGGCCACAGAAGACGTTTTTCATTTGAATGCGTACAACAGGCTCGAGATGTGCACCTTTTGAAACCTGCCTCGGGGAATGTGTAATCCTCAGACGTGAGGAACGAGTGATTTTTCATTTGCAGACCGAGCCGTGTAAGGCAAATTTTTTGATGGAGAAAATAAACTCGAGAGAATGCAATGTGTTTAAAGACCCTCTGAATCTAATATGAAAAGTTCTCATTCTATCTAAAGTTGATTGGATTTCCTGTTCAAAAGATTGCAGCTTTATCAACGTAATTTCTGAAAGTTCCCAGCAGGTGGCAAACCAAATGCATGGAGCATATACAATGTGCTTGCACACATGCAAAATACATTAGTGTTCCGAGCGGGTCCACAGGAAATGGTTGTCACAGACGCACTCTGGAAAATAGGTTTGGTTTACAAAACTAAACATCAGCATACACAGGAGGAAAATGGTCATTTCCTTCAGCATCAAACAACGTTAATTATTAAACCGTGTGTTTATTCCGTTTTCCAAACAAGAAATGTAACAATGGTTGGCGTTTGTTAGGAGAAGCCGCGTGCATCTTTTACAGATTGGAAATGACAACGGCGTGCGGCTTCCGAATAAGCAAAGGGAGATTACTAAACGTACGCAGCAGGTTTTATAAATAAAAAAAGACTGCCAAGGACAACGGACATGCCCCAGTACAGAGTGTTTTTTGCAGGTGCACTCGGATTAGTCAAACCTGTCACCCTGTTTACCAAGTAACCCCCCGTGAGACCGTGCATGTGGCCGCTCTTCCGAGAACGTTTACTGACAAAGCGCAAGCCCGTTTCCTTTTCCAGGTGAAATAACTTACAAGCTATTAGGGCCAGCCGTTTCCCTTTTTAAGTTGTACCGTTCTGAACATGCCAGAGGCAACTGGCACCATTTTACAGTTGTACTTTCAATCAGAGGAATCTTACATTGCAATCATCAGCGTTATTACATATACAACAGCACAAATGTTCACGTGTATAAAGTTGACAATATTAGCAAATAGTTGCTGTGCAACACGTTCAGAAATATACATTGTGTTGAATATCTGCCTTTGTATTTTTGTCATGCATAACAAGAGGTCACTGAACAAAAGTAAATAATTGTTGGAAGGACACAGTTAGAAGAAAACGCAGCATAAAATGTGAAACTAGGGCAATTGCTGAATGAGGATTTGGGAAAAAAATGTTTACGAGATAAATAAATAAAGATGAAGGTGAACAAAAGCAGAGTTTAGTGTCTTTGGAAAATTTAATGTGATGAAAAGCAGCACATCCTTGTGCCTGTAAAAGAAAGTTTTTAATCAATGCATATTACCTACTATGACATGGACCACAAATTGCAGACACTGACAAAGAACGCAAAAGCTGAAAAAAACATGCAGAGAATCGTGGGGAGATGCACGCCTGTAATTGCACGCGGAGACGGAGAGAGAAACACGGTTCGGAGAAGAAACACAAGTTGGATACATCAGCTGTCAATGATAGTGGACTTGGGTAAGGACCTATCACGAGAAGGAATAATGGCCGATGGATAAAAAGACAAAAATAAAAATTGGTTTTCTGTATCGATACAACCACTGCTTCCCCCCAATGTTCCGTTTGGAATTGATAAAAGCTACCATACTGCCTCTACTTGACTCCTGTGACATCGTGTATAAATCAGCCCCAAGTACTGTACTGAAGAAGCTTGATTCCATCTATCACTCGGCCTTAAGATTTACATTGAACTGCCCATATAGGACTCACCACTGTGATCTCTACATTGGGCCAAACTTAACATCTCTTAATGTTCGACGGCTTGTGCACCAGATCTTCTTTATTCACGATGTACTTACAAAAAAATCCGCAGACTACCTGCTGGATCTCCACTCTGTTTCAAAGAACAAATTTGACCTCAGATCTTCGCTCATTTACCAGCTTCACATTCCCTATTGCCGTACAAAAACTGGAGGAAGGGCCTTTGCTATCGATGCCCCCAGGGTCTGCAATGCTATTGCCAATAAACGCAACTTGAATCACTACCAATGAGATCTTCTCTCAAAACTGCTCTAGAGGAGTTGTACACCCCTAGCTGCCACTGCTATTCATTGGCGTAAAATAAAATAAAATGTTTCGCTCCGGATGACGCTGCAAAGTATTATCTGTATTTTGATTTAGCGTGCTGATCTTAAAGGTGCATTGAAAAATTTGATACTCCGACTGATGCTTCTGTTGTTGTGGAGTAACTCATGCAACCAGCTATGGCTCTAGGATTTGGTGTTACATGTTATTTATGTAGTTTATTGTAAAAGTCGGTCACAGTCCCTATGATCACTGTTACGTTGCAATTATGGCTTTATTTTTTGGTTATTTCGAAAACGGTTTTTGGTTTGGACATGTTTGTTTTGTTGTAGTACGGAGTTAGACTGATGGCTTTAATCTAACTTTTCATGTGGTTGTTGTTGTTTGACTTGCATCCCACTGGGATTTTTTTGCACACAGCGTTGGTGTACGGTGCTTTTTTCAGGAATATTTTGCTGTTTTTTTTCATGGATTTTCTGTTTGCACAGTCACATTAAGATTTTTTCTTGTTCGTGTTTTTGTTTTTTTGTTTGTTGTGGTTGCACCCGATTCAAGAGCCGTATGGCTCACAGGGCTATACCAAAAAATAACTGAAACTGAAAAAAAAACTGACTGTATGCTGAACTTCTCTTTTACAACGTATGTAGCCAACCATGCTAAAATCAGAGGTGTGGGGGAAGGACAACAAACTAAACACAAAAAACTGTTGTACAAAATTAGTTTTCAATCTAGATGTCACAGTGCATAGCTCCAGTAGCTTCCTAATATCGGAAGAGCATTCCAGACGGCCACAGAAGCGCATCTGAATGCGAGCGATGCAGTGACCAGCTTTTGTACGATGGTTGAGTAAAAAGCTGCTGCAAGGATGACTGGAGTTTGCGTGACAGAATGGTATTACTCAACGGAGAGAACATGCTGGGAAAGACAACCGCCACAAAGATGGCATGGCGAGACGAGGTCTTGTGTAGGAGTGAAGCGCATTGTGGTTTTACGACAGCATAAGGAATTCCAATGGCCTGGGGAGGCCTTCATCAAACAGTGGAAAGGGAATGGCTACGCTTGTCAACAATGAAGCCTGAACAAGTGTAAAATTGCTAACGTACAACTCGTACAACTCTCGCTTTAATCTCGCAGACAACGTAGCCGAAAAAATAGTAAACATCTTTGCACGTCCACACCTCTCCAGCTGCGAATGGCTCAACAATGCCACCCGATGTTCATCTGGTCGCGGTTGGAATGAAGGATATGACGAGTGACAAAACCAAGTGGGGACTCAATGAAAACTTTAGGGGGCGTTAATCCAAGCCCAGCATTTCTGGTTAAAAAAAAACTTGAGAAGCTGACTTTTTGAGGGTCTTCAAAAGAAAGCACACTTTGGTTACAATGCCGCACGTCACATCCACATAACATGGCTATTTTAGTGGTGGGGTGCCCAAGCATTTTATCCATAATGAAGGGTTTTTTGGGTTAGATCGCGTAAATATATAAACGTGTCGTTAAACCCACCACCACCTGACACCGCCAACTCGTAGGGTTTGTCACGTACACAAAACGTGCCAAATAGTCACTACTTCAGCACACCGGTGTGCTGGAGAGTAAACCCACACATTTCAAATTAGAGTACGACATTTCGCTGGTGATCACAACCAGCTTCATCATCAGGCAATAGCCATAATTGTGAAGAAGTCCTCCTCCTGAAGAACCCCATTATTTCCATGAAGACATTTAGTCCATTTACAGCTTGAAATGTTACATGCAATTGTAAAGGTTAAGAAAAAAACCACGGCTGAATTCAACAAATACCACAAAGCAATTCGGGAAACATGCGATCTAATGCAAAAGGAGTGACTAAACTGGAACTGCCTGGCACGTGACGTTTCTGCATAGCACGGAGATTGCAGCCAACGCACAAGCCAGCATCGCTTCGCAAAACTGAGCTTCGGGGTAGTGCGTTTAAATTATTTACATTTACGGGTAAATTGTATATTTCAAGGACATACAGTGTAAACTAAACTAATTTCTATTTTATTAGGTAATAAAATATAAATTAATTTTATTAGGCAAGCGACCTGGCCACAAATGACAGCTCAACAAAGTGGCTTATCACGTGCAAATTTTAAGGAGCCAAATACTCTAAACACGTCGATTCTAAATTTGTAAAAACCGGAGGACCCGGAGAAAAATCCATGTGACCACGAGGAGAGAGAACACGCAAATTACAAACATATAGCAGGCGTTAGGGTCTGGATCGAACCCACGACCCTCCCGCATACCAGGCGAGGTAGTCAACATCTCACCACCGCGGCGCCCAGTGGGAGGAGGAGCACTGGGTGAGCAACAGTTGAGACGGACCTGTACAACGCGCTCCGAAGGCAGCTGCACCATGTGGCGGTAGTCCTCGTGCGCAGGCCGCACCAGACAGCGGCCCCGGCACGGCTCAACAGGCCTCGGCGGTGGTGGCTCCCTGCGACTGGATGCCGAGGAGCTGTCGGTCGCCGTCTGCCACGCCAAAACGAAGAGACACCGCGGAGAATTAACACGGGCGCCGACCCAAGTCAAAAATGCAAGTACCATCAAGGATTTCGCTCAAACTTGGTCCCGACAATGTATGTTCATGACTCTGCTGGATGGAAATTATATAATATTGCTGGCAACGGAACACTTTAAATACCTGACCTACATAAATGCGGCTGAGCCTTGTTTTCTTTCCGTGAAATGTCCCACTCTCGAGGCACACAGGAAAAAAAATGTACGATCATTCTTTGGAGTCTAAGGAATGATCATGATTTGTCTTGCCTCTGTGAACACGTGGGAACATGTCCTGCACATTTGATTTAAAAAGCTCCTTTGTTTGATGCTTTAATGTAAAAGTTTGCGGTTAGCAATTTCATGCAGGTGTGAAGATTAAGCAATATTTTAACAGATTAAAATAAATTATAAGACTTTTCCTGCAGGCTGCAGCATTTCAGATATGTAACTGCCACAGTAGTCAGGTCCACTCTGTGCCCTGTATGACAGCATTAAGCCTATAGGTTCAAGTTCAGAACAGGATCTTCTAAGTTTATTTGGTTCAACATGAAAAAGCACTGGAATGTTGACACATGGTAAAGTCCACCAGGGGATCAAACATAACTCTGAATGAACTTACGGCATTGACCTGCTGCCTTCTAACCCCCCCCCCCCCCTCACAAATATTAAGCCACTGCAAAAATCACATCAGGCAGATGAGATCGCAAATTAAGCACAAGCCACCAATTTTTTCCAAAGATGAGACTAGCTACCCATCAACTGGTGAGAAAATTAAAACATGCATTAAAATAAAAATAAAACAATACAGCATTGTAGTCCCAATGGAAAGAAAATTTAAACTTGAAAATACAAAGAACTTAAATTCGCACAAAATGTTCTCTTTTTAGGCAATGTTACTATTTTCTTGGCATGCTATGGTAATTACTCTCCGTCGTGTTTGGAACACCTGTCTGCCATCGCCGTTAATTCCGAGGGCTAAAGGTTACACTAAGAATTCAGAAGTGTGGAAAGAGTAAGGTCAACTAAATGCAGCCTATGGATTTTTATTAGAAAGATGCCAACTTTCAGAATGACAAAACATCAGAAAATTTGACTAATTTTAGACATCTGAAAATTGGAATTTGCTTTAAATATCTGAAACGTATAATGCATGGCAAATGTTTAAACGAATTATCAATAAATACACAGACAGCTATCATATCTATGTTTTGGGTGACAAGTACAAAGTTCTATTGGTTTTTTTTACATGAAATGTATGTTTTTGTTTTTAAACAAATGTTGTAACAAAGATGGCTAAACTACCCACAGGGAATGGATAGCAAGACCAAAAAAGTTGTAACAAAATATTTAATGTTATGTTAAAAAAAAACCTTTTTTTTTATCAACACACCGCACAGCCACGATGTTCACTCTGCAAAAAGTATGACTAATGTGTGGTGGGAGGTCAACAAAGAATACACAGAAGCAATGGGCACGTTTAACAAACGTCGAATTCAGCTCTTGAGCAACTGTGAAAATGAGGGAAACACCCACCCACAGTATGTCACAGAGTGGAAGTTTAACTTTTTTTTACATTTTCCAGCTGACGATCTGCAAGAGCACATTTTGCCATGTTAAAAGTCAGAACGGCACTATGAAATGAGTTTGGACTTTAGAGAATCTAAGTGTTTCTATTGGCGATGCCAATACTGTACCAAGCGCCGAGGCCCCAACAGCTGCCCCGCAGCCTTTTCTAATGCATTCAGCATGTGAGCTATGCAGGCAGAAAAATGTAAACACAAATAGGCCCCGATTGAACAAAAAACTGCTCACTTTAATGTGCCCTACCCTATTGCCAATCCCCTTTAAACTTCATTACCCGTGTTTGTGACATGTTAAGTAGGCTGCACTTCCCGTGAACAGCAGCAAAGGGGGCTATGGCTGGATGCAATTTAAACAATAATAATGAATTGTACTTTAAACAAAAGTTGACGAAAATATGTTTTCAGAGGTCAAAATGGTGTTGTAGATATTCCCTCCCCCCCCCACCTCCATTGATACCGAATCGAAACAACAAAAAAACATCGCTTTTAAAATCATCAATGAATGGATGGAATGCTCTTGGGGCAATGTTTACTTGACAGCTGAAATCCTACCGGTCTGTATGGTGTTACGAGTGAGGCACCGCCAAATGTGCAAGCTGCAATCAACCCCACTTTGTGACGACTAGTCACCCTGGCGCCTAGTTTTGTGTGTGTGCGCATGTGTTATTTGCACACATGTACGTGTGTGTGTGTGCGCGCAAACCAGACTTTCTCACGTAAGAATAAACGAAGGAGATTCTACTACATAGGTGGCTTGTAGCCAGGAACACAAGGAAATGCTGCTTTGTGATGTGCAAGTTTAAACCAGTGCAATGCGATGAAATAAGCTCATACCGCTACAGGGTGAACAGCATCCTACAGTGCTGGGTAGGGAACTTCCATCTTTTTACCAAAGCGCATTTTGATTTGGCAAATATAAAACCTGTACGGTCAAGTACACCCAGATGTCATGAGCAAAATACCCTACCCCCCTTGTCTTCCTTGAGCCTGAGAACCGGGCGAAAAGAAGACTGCGGCAAACGAATTGCAACAGAGCGGAAGCACCAGCTTCCACACCGCCGCCGACAGCCTTGCGCAACAGGCAACTTCCAAGAGGCAAGCAGCAGAGGCAGTGGTTCCTTTTTTTGAAGGAGCAGACGGCAATTTGGAGATCCTCTTAGATTTAACATTCCTCACAAAAACCTGCGTTAGGCATCAGGCGTTTTTCCCCGTCCACCACCACCCCCCCCCCACCACCACCACCACCACCACATATTATTTACATTGCCAGGACCTGTAATGTGGATAATGGCACAGGCTTTAATGATGCAGTGCAAGAAGTCAGTGGGTTTAGTGTGCACATGTTTGAAAGGGAGTCTAAAAACCAGCAAGCACACTTTTGCCATTGCCGGCAGAATGGATTGCAGTTGTAGGGAGAACAGTGTTTTTGTGTATGCTGCGGGACGGAAATTCTTGCGGCAATCATTTGTAACATAATCGAAAATTGCAACCCAGTTGTTTGCACAATTGGCGAGTGGTGACTTTCCTCGAGTTCAATGACAATTGGCCCTCCTTACCGCCTAGGTTACGCAATGGCTCCTTAGCCAAGGGCAAAGAGCAAGGCAGTGGAACACCTACCACAGCGACGAGGCAATGTTTACACTGTACACAAAGCCTATGAACAAGCAAACTCCATATGCTCGAAAACACACATCTTCCTGGAAAGATATGGCTGATATTTTTGAGATGCGTGTACTACTTACGGTGTGAAAGGCTACGTAAACGATTAGCGTAACATGCGAGTAAGAAATACGAGCTTAAAGGTTAAAATAAATGAGAAAAATTGCTGCCAGTGACATTATCGATAGTTTCTTAAAGTGGCTAGGCTAGGCCCAACAATAATACAATGATCCCCTTTGTTTTACCGCCTCAAAATAACGATTACCTGTGAATGTTTTAATGACAACATCAAAAAGAGTTTGGCATTAGAAGTACCCCCTTCTTTGGGGCTTGAGCCTACTGAATTTTTCCACCAATCCCACATAATTACAAAATGAAAGCCAGATGTGCAGGGAAAATATCAAGCAAAAAAAATCATGAGCTTCAAAATGTTAAAACAATGTCCTAGTCTTTGCTTCTAGCCCAATGGTATTTTTTTATAACCTTGAAAAAGGAGAGGGAAAAAATGCCAAAATAAGAAAGCTAAATATGTACAAACAAATTAATCATAACAAAACAAAATGAGAGTATTGGTCGGTTATTTATTTACAAGTTATGTTTGAGACTTGGCATCTATACTTGTGTGCAATTTTGCTAATTCCATGCCCAACCCAGGCTTTGTACAGTTAATGTGTTTTCCATAAGGTCTACATTCGGCTGGTATGAGCACATAAAACAAATGTATAAAGTATCGCTCATTTTTAAGCCGACTACCATGGCAGGCTTTTACACACACACATACTGTACACGTTGCCATTTCATTTCAGTTACTGGAAAAATTTGGTCGCAAAAGCAGAGATGTTTTGTACATCTGTGCGAAAGAGAAAGAATTTGAAAGCAGGATGTGATTTTTAAATGTGATGGGAATGAGGCCAAGTGGAAAAGCATGGAAAAGATATATATACTTAATGCCCCAAGTCAATGCAGGGCTGTTGCAAGCAGAAAGGTTAACATTTAACAAGCAATGCAATTAGTTCAGGAGCAAGCTGACCTAACGGGGGAAACACAAGTCAGACATTCTAATGCAATTATTTGATTTGTTTTCAATGTATTTACTTTATCATCGGTGCAAATGAAACACACAGTCCACCGGGACGAAATAACGAGACAAGCACTCACGGTGAAGACATCGTCATCCCCAACTTCAGATTCATTTTGCAACGTGGAAGATGACGTTGTGGACCCTGCTGGAAGACGAAGAGCAAATTACACGCGACAACAAAATGCGTGCCATTACAGAAAGATTTAAAATAGTAAAAGGTACACCACACACACCACTAAAGCCCATTACAAGCAAGGGAACACTCCTTTTGTAAAGTGGAATTTGGCCCGCATTTCTTACACGAATGTATGAAATGACAAGACCTCAGCCTATTACAGGTCAAATGTGAAGTTACTTATTGCAGCACACCAATTTGTTCCTATAAAGCGTACTTATAATCCAACTTTCCAAGTATATCGTCGACCAAGTAAAAACGTTATTCTTCGAATAGCTTAGAAAGACAAATAAAAACACACATGTGGAAAAAAAAAGTATGCCATGACACTTCACTATAAAATATTAAATTGGTCAGGATACATTTGCAGAAAGGATGAAAACCAATGGACACAATCAGTGGCAGAAAGGCAGAAAAACATATGAGCGAACGACCACAGGGGAGAAGGAGAATGACATCAAGGCACATGTGCGCGGTTAAGATGGATTGCAGCTGCGCAGCACGGAGGCAAGTGCACTTTTTTATCAAGGGGGAGTTCTAAAAAAAAATGTATTGCTTAAAACAAAAATAAATTGTCAAAACAAGCAAGGAAAGGGCATGACAATGCGTTTACAAATCGAACCTCACAGTGAAGATCAAATGAAAAAGGGAAGCGCAAAGCAGAAAAAAAATGAAAAACCAAACGTCCCGTGACTTCCTTTACCTTCGCTGAGGTCCTCAATGGCCTTGCGCACTCCGCGGTCAAAAGCGCGAGCATCCGCCGGGCTCTGGAAGGTCAGGCCAAACTTCTGCTCGTCAATCTTCCAGTGGTGGAAGATTGGCGTTACCTTGTTGTACACCACATCCTTCTTCAGGACACATTCCAGCACGACCTGTCAACGAGGCGAGTGGTCAGCGGTTAGCGGTCCAGGCGAGGGAGTCTGAGCGATGAGCAAGGTGGTGAGGTGAGACGGGCTCACTGCGGAGATTAGAGAAGTCGTCTTTAAAGACGGTGGCTTTTGGATGACCCTGTTCAATTTAATCTGACAAGAGGCCCCCTTTAATCATTCTTAAGCAAAATACGTTGTACACATAGGAAGTCTGTTTTAACAGCAATTGATGGATTCTACGACAGAGTAGTATTTATATATAAACAATATAGTTTTAATATATGTATGCGTAGCACGAACATGGCTCACCGTGAGGTTTTGCGTCACGACACGAATGTGTGTAGCGCCCTACCCTTTGAAGAATTTCCACGGATAAATGTAGTTGTGGCATGGCATGTGAAGGCCAACTTTTGCTCAGTAAGTCACAGAATGCTCCCAAATTGACAAGAGTCTAAAAATCAACATTCCGTCCTAATTTTATACTGATTGTGCTATCATTGTCGTGTCATATGAAATGAAAAATTCAAGGTTGGAAAAGAGTCCATGGATAGAGATAGTACATAACTAATACTGAAACATCTTAAAATGGCCTCTTACACTAGTGTTTGCAGATTTTCACCCACTCTGCTGAAGAAAGATAAGTTAATTTTTAGGCAGTCAAACCAATAATTTTACTTATCAGAGATTGAAAATTGGCCAAACTAAGTAAATAAACATATTGTGATTTTTGGTTGTTATTCAAGTCACTTGTAATCTGGCTGAGACCATCAACTCAGTAAGATTTGAGAATCCAGTTGATTGTATCGCAGACTGCTGCCACGGAATGTAACGGTACCAACTCAGTGCTCTGAGACCTCTGAGTTCGCAGGCCACCTCCAATAAACTGCATCTTTTAATGCTATGGCTACAACACATGATGTAGGTAAGATTACCAATCGGCTCAATAAAAAAAACCTTAGGGCCAAGAATAAAAACAAATCATGCCTGATTATTCTGTGTATTTACAGTTACCATAATAGTAATATTAATAAATTTAAACAAACAAGTGTTACGGCTCTGGACTGATGAGCAGTTTTCAACTAAATAAAGGTTCAATTTAAAATTTGATGCAGTAAACGTCTGGCAGACCGTTAAAAGATGCAATGCAAATTTAGTTTGAGGAAGTCATTTTTTTCACATATATATAAATTATAATCTGGATAGCCTTTCAACGGTTTCTGTAACTAATTTATTTTGTATTCACTGTCCGGAATACGTTCAAGAATGTACAACTGTATACATTACTACATTGTTGCCAATTTAGTTGGCAGCAGAGGGCAGTGTAGCAAACTTCATTGTTGTAGTGTACGATGCCGCGTCTATGGTGCACGCCTTCACCAACCCGCACTGACCAATACTTCGACTATAATGAGCCAAGAATGTGTTTGTGTGTAACGCGCATGACGTCACTCCACATGCCCCCCCCCGCCACCCCCCCCCCCGCCACCCCCCCCCCCGTCATCAATAATCATGAGTGGGTGGATTTTTACACTCGCGCAGAAGGTCGAGCGGATATAACTTTTTTCGAAAATTCGCTTTAAGTTTGACGTTTCTTAATTGAAAGAGAATCTAATAAATAATTATATGAATCTAATAAATAATTCTAAGAAGCAACAAAGTGGATTTGGTGTCTTTTTTTCTTCAGCACTTGAGACTAAAAGTAAGTCTAATTTATGCTTCTGCATGATGGTAAAATAGACATTTCTCGGTGATTTTCCAGATATTGTATCGATTTCCCATTTATTTCAACCTCAGCGACCGAAAGCAGAAGAGAATAAAGTATCAGAGCAGTCAATTTGAACAAATTGAAGGTCAGTTATATACAGTTCTAGTGACATGAAGCGAGGTGTTTTATGATGTACTTTTGTGCAAGATTCACTGCCATTAAATTTACACAAGATACAATTATACTCTGCTGAATTTTTTCGTAAATATTACAGATTCCGCCCTAGGATGGGCAAACAAGCTAGTGGTCAAATAATGACATTGTGTGGGGGGGAGGCCCTCATCCATAAGTGGTTTTGAAAAATTGCCACATATGTACATATGCTACCAGCTTGTGAACTTCTAAATTGTTGTCCTTTCGCAAGTGTGTTCTAACACTGGGCAAATGCGTGCCACCCCCCCCCGCCCCCCCCCCCCCACGATTCAACTGCACCCGCGTGGAAATAACTTTGGACACTCTTGAACGGCAACGCGAACATTATTCACCAGCTTATCCTTGAGACGTTCTCCCAGGATGAGGAACTCATTGCGCCCGGTCTCTTCATGGTGAAGCACTTTGTAGATGCCCACTCGGCTGATGCCTCCGCCAGCCAGGGGCACCCAGCCACCCGTCGAGTCGTCCCGCGTCATCACGACAGCGCGCACGCGAACGATGTAGTTTTCACTGTCGCGCAACAGGCACGCGTGGCAACACAGGGCCAGTTAGTAAACCCATTAAACTTGGCGGGCCACAAAAAAAAACACACCGCCTATATGTGTGTGTTTGTGCGCACTGCTAACTTGCTTGTAGGAGGAATGAGTTGCGTGGTGTTGCACGTGCGAACATAAGAGGATTGAAGGACGTGCGTAGGTGCGTCATTTGGTACATCTCAAACATTTCACTTAGAATATTCCGACATCGTGTTTTACATTTGATGGACAAAAACACTAAACATGTGCATTCTCTTGAGTCTATACAAAAATAATATTCCACCGCTTTTATTGTTGTATCAGTCGCAGTCATGAATAGCCATGATTTATCCACGGCTGTATCAAGGGTTCCCTCAAGCCGTCAAAAATATGAGCCCACTGCACCATCCCCACCGGCAAATCCTCTCTGGCACATGCCCTCCTTGGGTTGTAACTCCGTTGTTAGTTCCAACCGCTGGCAATCATGCCTTCAAGTGACATGTTCTGCCCAGCCCAATATTCTTGACAGAAAATGTCATGTCTCTAATATATTTTCTCTAACTTGCAAATGCCATCAAATTCATGTGTCTCCCCCGTCCCCTTTCCTTCACTCCACGCTTATCTGTACACCTCTCTATGCGTCATATGCACGCTTTTGCAGCATCTGCTCAATTAACTTAATCAATAACAATGTTGGTTAATGCTGCCACCATTTATGCATGCCTATTTTTCTGCAAACCAATTTTCACAAAACACCTTCGAACATCATTACAAATAGCCAAGTTGAAAGTGTATTCTTTGGTCTATTCGGTGAAGTCACATACGTGACTCTACCGAATAGAACCAAAGAGTATGGATCCTTGCAGTCATGAAAGCTTCAAATCGAGAAGGTGAAAGTGTCTCCGTGCCAAACTCACCATCTAATATGTACTTTGTTAATTCCTTCAACATATGTTATATATGTTCAATACAATCATGAAATCAAACCCATGAGCCTGGATATAAATTGTTTGTGCAGATCATTGGGAAAAGAATAATGGAAAATGCAGAGGTCAACCAACCACAGCAGTAAGATGGGTTCAGGATTTAAGGTTTTTCTCCCATTTACTCTACCACAAGCAAACCAAAAATTGGTTTCTGAAAAATTGTAATGAATATCAAATACCATTATGCTTGGCCTTTGTAGACTACGAAAAGGCATTCGACCCAGTGGAAATTGATGCGGTCATCCAAGTTCCTATAAACTAAGCACACGCTAAGGCCTAAATAACAACTATTTTGAAATAATCAGTCATTATTTTTGAAGACTATTCCAAAGCAGATTGAAGGGAACATTAATGAAGAGAACTCAAAAACACCAATCATCTCCTTTTTGTTGCTAAAGCCTAAACTTGTAAACAACTATCCTTAAAAAAATATTCAGTAAGTATAAATTGATCACTTCCAAATGTACAAGGTTCGCAAAGTCCTGCCAAGATTTTTTGTACGTGCAGAACTTCAGTGCTTCATATATTTTATTACTTCCAGGTTTATAAAAAAACAGAATCAGCCTTTTTTCTATACAAAAAAATCCAAATGTGTTTTGCCTGTAGACTTTAATGGATGCAAGACAAAAACATTACACGCACAAAAACAACTGCTCTATTTAAAAAAAAAAACTTACGAAGACATACTGCACCGTTCATTTACTAATGCACCACAATGCAATGGCACACAGCGAGAGAGAGAAAGCCGCTGGGCCGGGCCAGAGTAAAAAATGGCATGCACCCAGTTTTGACTGCAGGGTGTGGTGTATGGGTGGAGTGTTGCCTTGCCGAACTATAGACTTGGGCCTTAGCACTCTGGTGGCTTGAGCGCAATCCAGATTGTGTGCGACACGTGCCGTGTCATGAGGCTGTTGTTCTTAAGGGTCACGCAAGTCGCAGAGAAAGCACTGCTTTAGAGTTAGAGTGAGCTGAAATGTATCTCAAGAAAACAATAATCATGAAGGCCTTTTACAAAATTGTGAAGCCAGGAATTCCAGCGTGATAATGCCAAACAATGAAGTGACAATGCATGAATTCGCATGGATCTAAATTTAACCAAATCACAATGGGTGTACGGTATATAAAAAGACCTCCTAATATAGACATTATAAATCCTAATTTCTAATTATGAGCTTTACATACATCTTACTGCTAGAGTACATAATTATCCCAGGGATACCATCATGGACCCCCCAGGCTATATGTTCCAGGCACATTATTCTCAGTGGTATATTAATTACAAGTAAATCCCTTGCCATGTGGTTCCTAAAAGACCTAACTAACCATAATGCCATCATGTGGCATTCTGCTCTCTGGATATGCCACATTTTCAGTCGTAAAATGTTTCACCAGGAAGTGAGATGGGTGAGTTAATGGTTTCTTTATAGAAGAGATGTTCTATGCAGCTAAATAGCGTTATCCTGTCATGAAAAATGCCACTGCAGGATGAATAATAATTTAACAAACCCCAACCAGTTCTAAAAAGTTGATATCACAAATCATCAAAACAGTAATAATAAAAAACAGCACTGTGATGGTGGTCAATGTAATTGGAAGAATGATGGATGCATGCATTGGTGAAATGCATGTTGATGGAAATTTGTGGTAACTCCATAAGGCACCTGCTGTTAAGATCTAAATTGGCATTACTGTACATTAGGTGGAAATTTAAGAGATTTGCATGCAACATGAATGAGCAGTTAAACCGCAGAGATACACATTTTTGCAAAACAAGGAAGTAAACCAAATCCCTCAAAACCAGAAGCTTATCTCAGTGGCCTCGCTTGCATCAGTTCCATCCGCTTTGTGGCATTTATGTTAATGGTGCAGTGCCCTACGCTGTGAACGAAAAATGTATTTACACCCAGAACGCCACTCACAAAAATCCCAATGAACAAAATAACTGCCACTTAAACTGGTGGAGTAAACATAGATTGTTAGACAGACATTGCACGTGAACAATTTTACAACATACGCCTCTTTACATTATTGTATTCACATGCTGCAAAAATAAACCTGCAGACGCATTTTTTTTCTTTAACAATGCCTGCTTGGCAGGGGCAATTGAGTAGTCAAGATAACACCGTCGCCTCAAAGTCCACATTTTGACAGCTGAAGCATCCATCTCGGCTCCATTCATAGCTGGTTATGGAACATTATTAAACACCTGACTGTGTCCATCCCATCTCCTTGCCTACGAATATAAAAATATCCCAAAGCGCGTTATGCAAAGGTATCCCCACTGTGTGCCCCGTGTAATGGTCAACCTTGTATACGATTAAACACCAACATTCTCCAAATTCTGCAACCGAGGCAACAGGGCCTCCTTGTATTTAACTAGCTCTGTGTAGACTTAAGTAACTATGCTGTAGTGAGAGTAAAACAATCCTGTACATTTGTGTTTAGTCTTAAAGAGTAACTGCTGGAATCAAACAATGAAGGCTATGTGTTATACCTAAATAATGTAATATTATGGGGGGGGGGGAATGTATAAAAAGCAGAATGTGAATGAGAAAGTTACTGGATCTAGGTGCTGAGCATGCTCATTAATAATGGAGACTAAATTTAAAATGGCTGCTGTGATTCTAGAAATGCATACGTGATATTGTGCAATGCCATTGTGCCAATTTCGATTTTAAAAAATATTTTCCAAAATATGTATGACGAACGTACATGCATTTTCCACCATAAAAAATACAAATGTGCTTTGTAACTTCCCAGAAAATTTGTATGCGCCACGACATACCATCCCGCTAAAATTTAGCCTCTAGTTTATGAAGTTTCCAAGACAAATAAAGCAACCGAGGATGTAGTGCAGGCAACCCAGCGAAGGCCACTGTCAAACACAAGAGGGGGAAAAAAACAAAGAGAAAATAAAAATAATACCACAATCAACCATGGTTCAAGCATTCATCTGGGTACTCCACTTTTAGCCACAAAGAAAGAGGAGGAGGAGGAAGCGGCAAGGGAGGAAGGAAGGAAATGCGGTTTATCCTAATAGCTGGCCTCCTGTGCAGAGATCGCTTCCAGACATGCCCAGCTTTTCAGACAATCCTCCAGGACATATCTGGGACCCATTAGAGCCAGCACCGTTACATTGCAGCATTTGGAAAAATCAAGTGCTTGGCCTCATTTACCGAGAGATTACAAAAAGCTGAATATTTTAATAACTAGCAGGCTTGTAACATGTGTTACCCTTTTTCCACAAGGTAAAAATGAATACATACCTTATGCCATGTTGCATGTGAAAAAAAATGCAATATTATTAAAACAATAAATTTGGACCATGACTATCTATTCATAATACAATGCGTATTTCTTCAAAGGTATGCCAAGAACATGTTCAATTCCTTAGCCAAGGAATGGACTAGTACCACACAACATCTGAAGCCACTTTTCAGGTAAGGTGGAAAGGTGAATGGTTAGCAAACCAATCATGCCAATAATTGGTAGAGACAAGAGTTAACTAGCACATATGCAGAATTCCAATGCATATCACACTGTATATACTTAAATGTAAAGGATATATAATACTACATAGTTTTAACTATGAGTTGAAGGGGTCAGTATATCATCAACCACATATCTAAGGACACACCTCTCTCCATCTCAACATGTGATTGTGATGTGCATTTATCATGCTTCCAAAGGACATCTTAACCACTTGACCAATTCTAACAGCATTTTTAGGGCTAGTCTGGGCCCACCACATCCGAGCAGGGATTACTTGTCAGAACAAAGGTCGATGCTGAGCTTTTCCCAAAACGTGTAATTCTGGTATGCTTTTTGCATACCCATGATATCAGGTAGCCAGATGGTCTTCAAGCCCAACATATACAATGCCACTTGGTTTGAGATCTAAACCCATTTCCAAATCGTAAATGTTTTATAAGGGTATTATTTAATAAGTGTTGTCCTTACGAGCGGGGTGACCTCTGCCATCCAATGTACGCATGTTTTGACTTAAAGT